CACAGCTCACAGGTGTCCCCATGGCCAGGACGCCCTCTCTCTATCTGCTGCTTCTAACTCCTCCTCGATCCCTTTGGATCTCTGCCCACTGCTCCATGCACAGGGCAAACGCTCTTCCCTTCCCTGATGCTGAGGCTAATTCCAGCTGGACTCTACTTGACCCTACAGGACAGGGAAGGTGAGATGCCTCAGGTAAGTGTGAAGGGCGGCAGCCTAGGAATATGCCTGGAGTGAAGGGGAGAGGCCATGAGTCTGGGGACTGCAGCTCTTCTGTGCAGTGGAGCCTGATCCAGGCCCAGAACCCCTGAGGCCACAGGATTCGGAGCTGACAAAGCCCTCAGGAGCTGCCCGGGAGCCTCCTGATTGTGTTCTTCTTCCTGTAAAGTGTCCGTGCATTTTAAGATTGTACTAGGGAGTGGCTCCTCTAGTCTAGAGGGAGAACCCTGAAAAAGTCTGGGTGGACTGACTCTTGGAGAAGTTTAATGTGGGTCTAAAGCCAGCTTCCTAATAAAAAACCAGCCTAACTTCAACTGCATCCAGAAATAACCCTGAAAATTAAACTGTGATTAATGTCATTTGACATCAGGTTCCTTTTAGAGGGATTAAATTACTTGGTGCAGCTTACAAGTCTTAGTCTTTAACTGTACTTCTCATAAGAAGAATCAAAAGTCACGCAGAAGGTAACAGTGTGAGAGATGTCCCCAGAAGGCCTCAGCAGAAGTCCTGAGCAGCTGGTCCTAGAGAAGAGCAGGGGGTCCCAGAGAAGATGGGAGAGGCTGCTGTCTGTGTACGGCACCATGTGACAGGACTAGACGGGAGCACACGCAGCACCCAGAGGAACAGAGGTCCAGTGGTGAGGAAGCAGAAGCCCTCCACAGGTGGCTGGGCCACTTAGAGGACTCTCCGGATGCAGTCACATCAATGTCTACAGCAGCACAACTCAGGATGGCCAGGTTATGGAACCGTCCCAGGTACCATCAACACGTGAATGGATAAAGAAAACGAGGGGTATAGACACAACGGAGTTTTACTCAGACACAAAGAAGAACGAAACTATGTCATTAGCTGGTAAATGGCTGGAACCGGAGAACACCGTGTCCAAGTAAAAGAAGTCAGGCTTGGGAAGTCAAGGGTCAGGTGTTCTCTCTCAGATGCAGAAGCCAGAGGAAACTAAGGGGGAAAACGTGGGTGGGGATTCCCATGGAAACAGAAGAACCAGCGGAACAGAGGAAGGGATTAAGTGGGAGGGAGGAGGGACGGGGAAGGAGGGTGGAGTGAACCTGACCAGGTTATTCTATGTACACAGACAAAAATACCACAGTGAGTTTCACCTTTATGTGCATCTGTAAAGTAGTAGAGGAAAGGGAATGGTGGGGAGGAAGGAGGGGGTGGAAAGGGGAAGCACTGGGGTCTGAATTAGGGTAAATGATATTCCGTGCATGCACGATTACATTAAAATGAATCCAGATATTATGTGTAATTATAACGCCTAATAAAAAATACTTAGGATATACCTAAAATTATCCTAAACAACTTACTCTTCCATGAAATAATAATTTGAAAGATAACAATGACACACCATTACACACCTATTAAGATGGTCAGAATCCCAGAAGTGACGCCACCAGTAGCTAGTGAGGTGTGCAGCCACAGAAACTGCCATGTTCATTGGGGGCAGTGCCAAAGTCACTCAGCCACTAGGAAGACGATTCGGTGCTCTTACAAAACTTAACGCGGCCTTATCAGACAACCCAGGACTTGTTCCCTAGGCTTTTCCCAACTGATTGTAAAGCTTACGACCATGCAAAACTGGTAGAAAAACAAACATTTATAGCAGTTTTTGTATAACCACTGGAAAACTGGAATCAACCAAGATGTGCTTCGAGAGACACATGGATGAACAAACCATGGTACATCCACACAAGGGGACATCAATCAGTGATGAGAAGAAAGAGCTGTCAAGCCAGACAAAGGCATGGATGAATTTTAATGCTCATTGCAAAGTGAGAGAAGCTAGTCTTAGAAAGTCACGGACTTGTGCTAGCTTCTTAAAAAATTGTTCTAATGAGTTATTAGCAAAAATCCTGAGCAAAACAACCTGAAAGGGAAGGTTTGTGCTTCATAGTTTTAGAGGTTTCAGTCCATGATCACTTGGCTCTGGGTCTCTGGGCCTGAGGAAGCGGAAGATCAGAGAGAGGAGCACTTGTGGGAGAAAAGCTGCGCACTCCGTAGTCACCCATAAGAGGAAGAGAGGAAGAGGCGGGGACAAAACACACCTTTCAAGGACAGGCCCCCAAGACTGCTCCCTCCATATAGGCCCCGCCTCCTCCAGTTCCCACCATCTCTGAATAGTCCACCGTGAGTCCAGGACGGGCTCATCCACTGAGGAGGGCAGAGCTCTTGTCTCCCAATCACCCCTACAGCCCCACCTCTGACCACGGCGGCTCAGGGACCAAGCCTCCCAGACCTGAGCTTTCCGGACCCTTCAAATCCCAACCATAATAAGGCTGTATGACCCAAGGTCTATGATGTCCTGGGGAAGGTGACACTATGGAGATGAAGACCAACGGTGCCAGAGGGCTGGAGAGCTGGGTGATTCCATAAGTGGAGGACAGGACACTTGGTGGTGACACTGTTGTGTTGGATGCTGCAGGAGACCCATGGCACTAGGTCCTCCTTCCCTGTCCACGAGAGGGCCTGGAAGCAGGCACCTCAGGAGCAACAGGCACACAGATTCTGGCTCATATTTCCTCTCCTCATAACAGAATCTGAGCTCCATGGAGGGAGGGTTACTTCTAGGTCAAGAGCAGGAAATACAAGATATCAGCTCAAAGCATCCTGCTGCGTCAGAAAATAAGCCACTGTGGAGAAATCAGAGGCACAGCGCAGCACGGGTGGAAGAGAGGCACGGGGGCCAGGGAGGAGCACCCGGGGTCAGAGCTGCAGCCATTTGAGGCAGCAAAATAATTCAGATCATGCTTGTGTGTAGCACAAAACATAACATAAGTTCTTATGAGTGCATGTGGGCATAAATAAATAATTGGCTAAATCAATGAATCTCCCTTGTAGCATATTTCCAGTAACTGCCAGGCATGGTGGTGCACTCCTGTAATCCCAAAGGCTTGGGAGGCTGAGGCAGGAGCACCACGTGTTCAAACCAGCCTACATAAAAGCAAGGTGCTAAGCAACTCAGACCCTATCTCTAAATAAAATACAAAATAGGGCTGGGGATATGGCTCAGTGCCCCTGAGTTCAATCCCCGGGTAAACTCCCCCACCAAACAAAAAAGAATACTTCCAGTATTCTGTAGCCAGTGTGCCTCAAGGAGGTACAGTATGATGCCCACTCCTTCAGTGTGGGGTGAGCAGAGGGACTTCCTTCACAATGGTAAGGGGGAAAAGACAGGTTCACAGCAGAGCAACCTAGCAAGCAGTACCCAGCCAAGTGATCAAGGTCCACCACAGTGACCAGTCACAGGATGGTGTGTGCACCCAACATGATACGTTGAGGGAGGGTGCCTCCATGGCCTTCCTCGCCAAATTCACACCCCAGTCTAATCATCAGAAAAATACATAACAAATAGTAAGGAAATACTGCCATCCTGACCAGTGCTCCCCAAAACCACCAAGGTCATCAAAAACATGGGAAGCCTAAGAAACTGTCACACGAGAGAGGCCTAAGGAGACAGGACAAATAAATGTCACGTGTGGCCCTGGATGGATTTCCAGAAAAGAAAAACAGGAAGGGACATGGGGAAAAACTAAGCATAGTATGGACTTTAGTTTAGAGAGAAAATTCAGAATAATTCCCTACAAACAGAGAAAAGAGCACATCAGCAGTCGTGAGTACTTACTGATGGGAGAAGTCTGTGTTGGGTGAGGTGATCTCCCCGACGGTGCATGTGATTAATCAAACGCCAGCTTGGTTGCCCTGCAGAAGCTTTTCCACAGTCTAGTGAGGTTTTCTTGAAATATTAAAACCTCCTTCCTTGGGAAAATCATGTTACCAATTGGGCTTAGGAACTATTGGGCTGGGGTGGTCAGTAATGAAAGAGCCCCAGTGTGTTGCATGGTGATTTCTGTTTTGTGATGAGAGGAATTGAAGCGTCCAGGGAAAACCCAATCTAGTGACGATCAGGAAACCATCTGGCAGCGTTCACCTGCTGACTGTGGATTTTGAGTAGGTGGCTCAGACAGGGATCTTCAGGCATGCCAGGAATGCAGGAGCAGCAAGCCCCGCTCCCACTGGAAGGCTGAGCAGGTATCGCGCAGTCCACAGACCTGCACGCCACTCCACATCCTCGTTTGAGCTGCAGGACAAAATTGCCTCTGCAAATTTTGACAGAGGAAATCTACAACATTCACTGCCAAACCTAAGCCACACGTGTTGTACCAACACTTTCCTTAAATTGTTTCTTTAAATTGTATAGAGTAGAAACACTACTATACTAATAGAAGTCTGTTTCTCAAGGTCTCAGTATTTTCTTGAATCAGAAGTTCCATTCATCAGTGAGAACACATATTCATGTCTACTCAGGCCTTTTATCACCTGCCCAGAGGCAACGGATGACAATGCTCCACCTTATTCTTACTTTCAATAATTATTCAACCAACTGCTCCATGGTATATATCCGCTGTCTGTAGTAATTTATCTTTAGTTCTTCTGGAGACATCTATGAATGGTCTTGGAATACTTGAAATGCTACTTAACGATTAAAGCTGAGAACATGGAGGTCATCAACCTTCACTCCCAGGTACCCTGACTTCTCCAGGTGTACCTTCTCGGGATGAAGGCAGAAGTGGAGTTGGGTGGGACTGGGTGGACAGGGAGGCAGCATGGGACAAAGAAAGGGCTCCTCCTCCCCAGCCCCGGAGGCAGCAGGTGACAGCATGCACCGGGGGTCACGTAAGTGTGGACCTTGCTTCAGTATCATTAACGTTCTTGGCAAAGGCTGAGTTAGTTAAGCACTCCTGGCTTGAGGTGTGCTTGCAACATCACATCTCAAGCCTCAGATCAGGAGAGTCATGGAGCCCAGGCTTTAGCGCCCTGGGAAATCATGGACCAAAGATAGAAGGCACTAATTCATCAGACTGATCAAGACCTATGAATTTGGCAATGCAGCAGACCTTTCTTTAAGACGTTCTGTTTCTTATCACTAAAATCAAGCTTCATTGTCCAACCCCAGCGTTAGCCCAGGTTTACCCCGCTCAGCAGAGTTCAAAGCTGATGTCCTTTTTTTCCCCTTAATCCTGGGGCAAGGAGACTGGCCATCGGCACAAAACATCTGGTTTTAAAATGGGTGGTTTAATAGTCCATTGAGGAAAAAAGACAAAAATACCCCACCTCATACCAACAACTTGAAGCATTGCATTATGTTAGGCAAAAACTTGGCACTCAAAAAAAAGATTTGAAGGCTTCATTGAAGATCACTGCAAAAGGTGTATCATGCTGCCATCTGGTGGTCAAGATCTAAAATGACACCTCCTGGCCCTTGCTGCCAGGTCCTGGCAGGACGGCTTGCTGTCTGGCCCAGGGGACAGGGAGACATGTGATGTGGAGCCCTGGCAGAGCTGGACATTAGACGTCACCCACATGGGGTAGGCCTTTATATCCTGCATTTTCCCTGTTCCTTTGTGGTCTGTGTGCCCAGTGTGTCCCAGCATGATTCTCCAGCCAAGCACAGCTGAACAGGCAGCTCATCCCCAAGGTCCCTTTACCCTCCGCCACCTCGTCACCAGTGCACACCACTGAGCTTTACTGACAGCCATCAGTCATGCACGGGGGGTCACCTTGATGTCCCCAACCAAGTCATACTGGTCCGGTGTGTTGATGTGCTTGGTGAGGCTGGTGTTGAGGGGGGCGGGAGAGACGGGTGGATGACAGTCAGGTCCTGGGACTGCCGCGGGTACCGCTGGCTGCCGGTGTAGATGAGCAGGGTGAGGAGGCCACCAGGGATGGAGCTGCTGGGCCCCGCTGATCATGTGGAGCCTGTTGTACCTGGAGGGCAGGTCCCAGGGAATGCGAGCTCCTCTCCCTCCTCTTCCTCTTCCCTCCTTTCCCTCCTGAACAAACCGAAGTCCCTGTGGGCAGAACAGGGCAGGAGTGAGGCAGGCTCAGCATGGATCTGGCCATCCACAGAGGGAGTGCTGGGCACGGCCTGAGCAGGGCAGAGACTGCTGCGTGGTCACCAGCAGGGGCATGGGAAGCTGCAGGGCAAAGTCTTCAGGGCTCTGGGGGCCAGAGGGCCTGGAGGTCTGTCCCCACACACAGGGCCTGGGTGTTTGCCCCTGAACCGCCCAGGCCTCCTCCCCTGAGGCCCACAGAGCAGCTCTCCTGTACCCTGTGTTCCTCATGCCCGTTCCCAATGCTCACTCCTCAGGAGGGGTCCTTCCCAATGGCACCAGCCCCCCTCTGGCACCTGGTGTCAAAGGTCACTAATTACTTGTCACCAAGGTCCTACTACATGCTGGGACCCAGGGCTCTGCAGAGTCCTTCCTGCTCCCCACAGATCCCTGAGTGGCTGAGAGGTTCCCTGGGAAGCCGAGCCCCAGGGGACAGGAGACCCATCAGGGCCTCACCCATGCTAGATGGTAGAGGTTGAATATCCCCATCTTCCCCTGAACCCTGAGCCTTCTCCTGTACACCATGCTCCTTTCTGCTCATGGGCACTGTGTTGCAGGAGCCCAGGACCCTGAGAGATGGATAGAAGCTGGAAGGGAGACCAGTTGGTCCCATTGGATGATTTTTTTGTGTGTGCAAACTTTGATTTTTCAACAAACTGAGAAAACGCATCTGTGTTGCCCCCCAAGGTAGAGGTAGATGGACATGGTGAACCCAGCCTGCCCTCTCTGGGGTTCATGGTCAGCCAGGCCCAACACTTTCCTAAATGCACTGCGATTCCAAACACACAGGCAATTCCTTACACAGGAGTCCAGGTACACAGCACTGAGAGCTGGACGATCCAGGTGGATGTTTCTAGAATATTCTATAGGTATTCCCCACTCCCTGACAACCCCTTTAGTTTTCCACTTCCAGCTTATGTGGTCAGTGGTAGGAAGGACCTCACAGATGCCTGGCCTTTCCTGGTTTTGTCAGGAGCCTCTGCAGCTGGAGGGCTCCTGGGCTGTGACAGGTGGGACCTTTCCACCAACAAACACTGGAATTGTTTACTGTAACACTAAAGCTGAACCTAAGCAAGTACTGAAGTCACGTGAGTTTTCATTTCTGTATACTTTAGGTGTCAGGCCTCCGGGTCAATACCATATACTGATAAAAGCACTCTCTGCTGCACTGATAACTCACGTTTTTATAACATACAGAAAATGTATGACCATCTCCATATGCAGATGCTTTGTCACCAGGCACATGAATCATTCCTGCAGGTGCCCCGGGGAAGATGGGGACCAGCTGACATCTTTATGATGATTGTGTAGTCTTTGTGTCTCATGCAACTAAAAATAGCCAAGTTGAAAAATTTCAATAGGAGCACATTTTCCACAGAGGGAAAAAGAGTGCCTATTGAATCTCTTTTGAATCTGCAAAATATGGCTCTTTCCTTGGAATATGCTCTTATTTATTTTTTTTTTTTTCTGTTATTGGTCAGTAAACTGGAACGCACAGGCTGCCTCGTTGGTTTAGGTGACTGGTTTTCTGGGCAAAGTCTGATTTAAATCTCAGCACACAGAGGGAAAAAAAATCTTTTCTGTCTTTCTAAGCATCCTAAAGCATCACTGTTGGATACATTGCTTGCTTTTACCTACTGGTCCTAGAATAAGATCCAACCAACCTCTCACGTGCCAACGTCAGCGTGCCGGCACCAGCAGCCTGAAGAGGCAAAGCCTCACTTCTGAGGGTCGCAGAGAAGCTTCTGGAAGTTTGAGCCAGTCACCGTGGTCTTCTGGGCAGCGTCCAGTTCCTGAGGCTCTGGCGCCTGAGGTGCAGGGATCTCCTTCCCTTCCACGGCCCCAGGAGGCTCCAGAAGCAGGAAACGGGCATCAGCTGTGAGGGCAAGTGGCAGGAGGCCTCAGCCTTCAGCTCATCCTTGCTCTCCCGCCTGCCTGGGGCTTCCCGCTCTTGCTGCCTCTCTCAGCCTCTCTTCCATTTGCCTCCAGCTGGGTCCCAGGCACTGGCAGGGGATCAGAGCAGGGGCAGGAGCCTCCCTCTTGCTGCCCAGGGTGTTGGTGGCCTCCCCTCCCCCACGGCCTCCTCTGTCTTCCCTCTGCTGTCCTGACATCTCTGCCTCCCTCCTGCCAGGGCTGTGGTGGAGACCCGTCACTTTACTAGCTGCCCCTGACCTTCTCACAGCCACCCCTGTGCAGGTCTGTCACTGTGGACGCCACCTTTGGCTTTTGCCTGTGTGGGAGCCTCAGGGGAGCAGGGCCTCCCGAGAGGGCCCCACTCGCCACCCCGCCTCTGCTTCAGCACAGGCCTGGCACACCTGGAGAGGTCATTGCCACTGGGGGTCGGAAGACAGGGAAGCAGAGTGACTACTTGCTCTCCTTGCTGCCAGAGTCCATTGGTCACTCACCCCTCTCTCAGCTCACATCTCTGGACGGCCCACTGTGCGCTACTCGGGGTGTACTAGGAGGCAGTGATGTGGCCCAGGTCAGAAAGAAACAGAGGGGTCAGTGGGAGGGGACTGTGAAGGCTGTCCACCCGGGAGGTCACTGGCTGAGGCTTGGTGACAAGATGCAGTGGTTACATCAGGCAAGAGCTACTCACCTGGAATGGTGGCAGGTGCACCGAGCAGCTGCTCCCGAGCTGAGCTGTGAAGGACAGGAGGTGGCCGAGGGGACAAGCAGGGACACAGGGGTCTGGAAATACAGCATCTTTCCCAGTAGGCACAGGTGGTTTTGCATTGCTGGAGTCTCAGCAAATTGAGGCTTGGGGGTGGAACCTGAGGCGACACAGGGTCCTACATCCTGCTACAGTTACATTGGGACTTACCCAGTTGTTTGAGGGTTTATTCTCTAATTATTTATCAGTTTCCACACTGGACTGTGCACTCTTCGGGGGCACCCTCTGAGGGACAGAGCTGTGGCGGTGTGCTGGATGGCCGCAGGTGAAACAGAACACAGTTCCCGCTGTGCAGAGAGACTTCCAACCATGCCCCTGCTCTCTCAGCTGCACAGCTCCTCCCAGGGCACCTCAGCCTGAGTCTCTCCAGCCTCCGGGGACTCCTGTCCGACCACCCCACTTTCCCAGACAAGCTGGGCTGAGAGGCTGGGAAAGGTCGCAGAGCTCTTCTTTCCCACAGCCTCAGTGGAAGGATTCTTCCCCCGGGTGCTGGGAGGGAGTCCGTGGACGATATGGCTGGACATGAGTCAGTTCTGTAAACTAGAGGGAGGGGGGTTGCCATGGGAATGTCGGGATCCCTCCCTCCCCATCACCTCTCCAGGCTCCAGACTGAGGTCCTGGGGGCCATCAGTAGAACATGCAGATTCCTCCAGAGTTCCCCCCAGAGACACTGCATTAACACCATGTGTGGCTAGTTTCATGTTTGCTGATTGGGAGGTCAAACCAGAAGGGTTTGTGCATAGCCTTGGTATCTTCCTGACCCACACAGCTCCTTCCCCTTCCCTCTTGCTAAGCACAAAACTGCTGAGAAACCCCAGAAACATTCTTCTTCTTTTGAGAACAATCTTCATTCCAGAACTAGCCAAACTTAGGCTGAGGCCCTGGACCATGCTCTGTAAGAACGGCCGCCCCCCTTCTTCTCCTGGAGGGGCCTCATCCCTGGCATCCCAGTGAGTTACGTGCTCCAGCTGATTCAATTCCACTGAAGGATGCACTTCCCAAGCCCTGGGAGTTCCTTATCCCAAAGGAAAACGGGGACACTCAAGGTCTAACACAGGTGCACTGATTGGGACTTCAGGTCGGCTCTAGGGCGCTGTAAGGAGGGATTCAGCTTCTAGGAACCAGGACATTTCTGCTCAGTGGCGACTGCTTTGGGCTCCTCAGCTACGTTTCTGTTTTAGTCAGCTTCTCTGTCGGTGAACAAAAGACCTGACAAAACAACATAGAGGAGGAAAAGTATACTTGGGGCTCATGGTCTCAGAGGTCTCAGTCCAGAGATGGCGGACCCCTAGCTCTGGGCACGAGGTGAGGCAGACAAACATCATGGTGGAAGGGTGTGGCGGTGGGAAGTGGCTCGGGAAGTGGCACAAGAAAGCAGAGAGATCTCCATCACCAGGGACATAATCCCATAGGCCTCCTCCAACCCTGCCTGCCTACCATTGTTTAGGCAGTCAGTGGATTTGGACTGCAGATCGGATGTTCTAGGGACAGGCTGGGCAAGAAGGCTCTCCCATTCATTTTCCCTTGTCTTTTAGATTTAATGTTCCATAACTTGGTTCCAAAGAATTGGAACATGGCGGGCACTGAGTCTGCAGTTAACAAAGCACTTCGGAGCATCAGACCCTCCCGCCTCATCAGCTGCATGCTCCTGGTTATCAGATCAGACAGATTCACCCTCCGGACCTTCCTAGGACAGCTCCACACGCATCTCTCCCCGTCAATCCTATTGGACTGTTATAAGGAGAAAATGCAGATCAGCAACCTACAATACTAGCATATTTATCTGTGGTTGGAATTAAACAAGGACGCAGATGAGAAAACAATCTATAGATGTGGCAAAGTCCTTCAGCTGCAGAGGCTCCTGTGACAGGAGTTCACCTGTTCTATTCAGAAAGCTCTTACAAAGAAAGTACAACGTTCTCACTTCCTGCTTGAGAACACTGGACCTCCCTCCACCCCCAGCCCCACCCCCAAAAAAATCTTAACAACCTGAAATACAGACAGGATTTAAGTGCTCTTATACACAATGGACTCGTGGTCTTTTGTTAGAGTCATCCACCTGCAAAAATAGAAGCATGATTTAGCTCTTTCTGAAGCTGTCCTCTCACCTGCTGACCTTTGGAAAGTGAATTAGAGCTGGTGAAAGGTGCTGAGTTAACTGCTATTGGATCAAGGACTGTGGAGACAGATGTCTGTTCCGGAACTACACGATGGCTGGGCTCCTGCCAGGGGAGTTAAGAAAATATCAGAAAGACCTTGAGTACATTCATGCTCCTCTGGAACTCAGAGCACACCCTCCACCAAGACGGAGCTGCTCCAGGAGCTGCCATAGTGGAGACGGTGGAGTGCACGCTGCAAACTGCAAACACTCACTGTGTGAACTTCACGTGTGCTAAGCCATCCGGTGACGCAGTGGTGCACCTGTACACTGAAGCTAAAAGAGCTGAATGTTCAGAAATTAGGAAGCAATTAATACGCACAGAAACACTAAGACACATATCCTCTTCCATTTGGTGTAACTACAAGAGAGACATCAGGCAGTCTGCCTAGAGAATGAGGTGGTGGCAACGGTTCTCTGGGAGCTCCAACTCAGACTCAAAGCTGCTCATGCTAGCCAAGGCAGGGTCTTCAGGAAAATGCATGTGTGACTGGGAGCAATTTCATTTTCTCTTTGATTTTCATGGCTGGCAGACTGATCCATCAGAACTGATGCAACCCACATGGCCAAATCGCCACTCACAAGGCCCAGAATGTCGTGAACCAAATTCCTTCATTTTCTGATTCCTATTATCACAGTCATAAAATCCCACTTTGGCAACCTCACACTTACCACTGGCCAAGTCTTCAGGAGTTTGCATGCTGAACAATGAAAAGGCACTTTTGAAAAATGATGGAAATAGGGAATGTTCTGTTTTCCAATTTCTGTATTTTAATATGGTAGAGAAAATATAGCGGGTTAAGAAAATGGCAAGATCTTTACGTATTTTTATTTTCTCATATTATATTTTTAAAGCCAGTCTTCCTCCTGCAAGATGGGAAGCTCTTCTCCCAGGACAAGTGTTACCTGCTGCAGGAGTAGCTCCCTCCCTCTGACGGGTTGTGGGTCAGCAGTGCCACCCCCCCAAACCTCTGGCACCAGCACACATCCTGGTTTACCACCCACCTCTGGGGTGTCGACATTATTTCTGATAGGAGGAGTTATGTAATGAGACACATATATAGTAATAATGATAGAAAAGAAACACAGACGGAAAATTTCTCTTTATTGAACGTCATCTGTGGCTATAGAATCATGCCAGTTAACAAGTAAAAATAAACATTAAAATTTAAAAAGATATAAAGCAATATTTTAATTGCATTAACTCACTTATTAACAAAAAGGGATTATACCTATATATCAGTCTGACATCCTAATAAGTTAAATTTCATGGTATGTTCTCAATCCATAACTTCTAGATGTGGCCAACATTAAACTTCTTGTATTCGTATTCAATAAACATATGCCAAGATTTATTATCTTCAACCATATTTAATTGAAAAACACTTTATCAAAAAGTTTTTTCACAATGTTCATCATCTCTGGCAATTAGAGAAATGCAAATCAAAACTACTCTATGATTTCATCTCACTCCAGTCAGAATGGCAGCTATTATGAAGACAAACATCAATAAGTGTTGAAGAGGATGTGGGGAAAAAGGTACACTCATACACTGCTGGTGGGACTGCAAATTGGTGCAGCCAATTTAGAAGCAGTATTGAGATTCCTTGGAAAACTTGGAATGGAACCACCATTTGACCCAGCTATCCCTCTCCTTGGTCTATACCCAAAGGACTTAGAAACAGCATACTATAGGGATACAGCCACATCAATGTTTATAGCAGCTCAATTCACAATAGCTAAACTGTGGAGCCAACTTAGATGCCTTTCAGTGGATGAATGGATTTAAAAAAATGTGGCATATATACACAATGGAATTTTACTCAGCAATAAAAGAGAATAAAATCATGGCATTTGCAGGTAAATGGAGGGCATTGGATTTTCAGGTAAATGGAGAGCATTGGAGAAGATAATGCTAAGTGAAGTTAGTCAATCCCCAAAAACAAATGCTGAATGTTTTTTCTGATATAAGGAGGCTGATTCATGTGGGGTAGGGAGGAGGAGCATGGGAGGAATAGACGAACTCTAGATAGGGCAGAGGGGTGGGAGGGGCAGGGAGGGTGCAGGGGGTTAGCAAGGATGGGGGAATGTGATGGACAGCATCATCCAAAGTACATGTATGAAGACAAGAATTGGTGTCAACATACTTTATATACAACCAGAGATATGAAAAATTGTGCTGTATATGTGTAATAAGAATTGAGATGCATTCCACTGTCATTTATTTTTTTTTAAAAAATCAATTAAAAATTTTTTTTCACATGATGTAATAAATACATAGAGTTAGGAAAAGTCTCAAATGTGAGAATGAGTCTCTCAGAGATAAAACACATTTCACACTAAGTTCCAGAAATTGAAATGCTTATTTCTTCAGAATGATCTTAATGGTTTTCCAATGTCTCCACAGCTGAAGAATTTCCCCTCAGGTGTTTTCACCAGGAAGCTCATCATGAATTTCTCTAGTAAGTGGAAACTTCTAGAGTTTGTCTTCTGTCAAAAGAATTTGAGTATGGTGGTGCACACCGGTCATCCCAGTGACAGGCAAGGCTGAGGTAGGAGGATTGCAAGTTCAAGGCCAGTTTCAACAACTGAGGGAGGCCCTAAACAACCTGGTGAGACCCTGTCTCAAAAGTTAAAAAAAAAAATTTAAAAACTTAAAGAGCTGAGGATGTGCTCAGTGGTTAACCACCCAGTCCTCCCCTGCCCCCCAACAACGCCACCAACGAAATACAAATTTAGAAAATGGCTGAATGTTAACAAATGTGGAGGATGTTTACTTCTCTGCTTTAGAAGAAGTGTCAACCTGGAGGAAAGGACCAAGACATTCAAACATGCCCTGTGATTCCTTTTGGCAGGCAAGGCTGGCATCTTCTATTCTGCTTGAAATCTGACATTATTTTCCTGTATAAACGCCCATTACTTGTATTTTTTTTAATGCACAGTTAGCTGCTTCCTGCAACTCTCTTGTGCACTGATCTTCAAGGAACAATTTTAAAGTAGGAATTTCACTGTATCATTTTTAGGATCAATTGTAGCTTTTTGAAAATGTTTTCTTGTATCTGATTTACTTGATTAAAAAAATTTATAACAGAAAAATGCTCAGGGGAGAAAAAAATCCCCTAGAGCAGAGAATACTCCTGGGCCCACACTAATTCTCAGATTTCAAGGCACTTGAAGGTGGAGACCCACCCTCCGTCAGAGCGTGCAGAGCATGAGGTAATTCGAGTTGCGTTTTCTTGGTGTTTATGATCTCTGCAAC